CATACTTCTACCTCTGTTTAAAACATTTTTATGTATTGATATATTTACCATATTGCAGTGTACATTTCTACCTCTGATCAATATATTTATATGTTGTTTACATTTGGAGGTCATTATCTTCATTTATTGCACAGTTGTTTATTGTCTTAATCTTTAAGTTATATAGGTATTAAGAATTATAGATCAATAGTCATCTATGTCATACTTAGACTAATCAGGTCTTTAGATATTCTGCATAGATAGATAATCTTCAACCACTTCAAAGAGATATAGAAAATGGCATTTAAATAACTTAGAGTTCTGTTGAAGTGAGACACAATTGCTCCTGGCAGCACCGATCTATTCCAGAGAGAATGTTGAGCACTGAAGGCACTCCAATTGTAGCTTGTTTTCTTCTTTCCAAAAACAGGCCTTTGGGCAAAGAAATGCCCATGCCTCAACCACTGTCAAGATATATAGTATCCGGAAATGGATAAGCAGGACTGTCAAATCTTGCCAAGACAAGGTTAAGACTATTTTGAAAAATTTCTTGACTTTGAAAAATGATCTGCCAGTTTTTCTAGGCCTTAGCCAAAGTTGGTTGCTTCAACGTTGCAGATGGGACTTTGGGTGATTGTCCAAATAGCCAGTTGTCTCTGTTATTTGTTGCACGTTTTGGAAGTTGCTTGATTGCACTTCCTACTCACTCAAGTAATATTATTTCTGTTCTTGGATCTTTGATGGGGTTGAAGACTATATAATTGTAGTTACTTTCCTCTCATGACTTGGCCAAGTTATTTATTATACAAGACTTAAGCTAGTTAGAATAGGATATTTGTTCTTATTGTATATGATTTTGTATTAGGCTTAGAAGTTTCTTATTTAAACAAAAGGGGGAGGTGCTGCAGGAAGGTTTACAGCTTGTAATTACTTGCCTACTGGGGTGAGGCGTCTTATAGTATTTACCGGGATGCTGAAGTACATCTCCCCTTCTGGTTTCAGTTTGCTCATTCAGATTGTTTGGATCCCATTTTCTATCATCCTTTCAAGCAGAGAATTCTGATTTGTGAGTTTTTCCCCTAAATAAATATCTATCTCTAAGTTCTGAGCTAGTGTGGCATTTTTTTTAAGCATCCGATCACTCTGCCATCACACCCCTGCTTGATTTCTGTTTGGAAAATCACACTTCAGATTATTGCAGCCAATATAATTGACTTTGAACGGGGGCTGTTGGAGGCTTCTCTCTTCCCCTCATCATCTCCTATCTGCTGAGAGCTGCAGGCTGCTGAGCCCCTGTCCTTCACTGTACCTTCTGCTCTATAACTGCAAACAGAAACCTCAAGTCTCCTCTGGGTCTTCTTTCATCTTTAGGAGACTTCAGGCTGCCTCTGAGTTCTCCTCCCCCACACAGTCAGAGAGTGGGTACACTTACCTGTGAGAAGGAGGCCCTGCCAAGGGGTGCAACCCTTACAGAGAATCTCAGAGCACACCTCCATCTCTCTTCTCACTGTGCCGTCCTTCCTCTGAGAAGAAGAACTTCAACTCCAACACGGCCCCCAGGTTCTACTGTTCTTCCCCTGCTTGAGATGAGCTGCCTCCCAGGCTGGAGCACTTCCCAGAATTCAATGGACTCTGGGTGGTGGGGTCTGTGTCCAAGGCACTTCTCTGTCCCTTCCACTCTTAGTGCTGCCCCACATCCCTCTCAACTTTTCTCTCTTTATATGTCTCCATCAAGCAACTCACAGCTGATAAGCATCCCCATGCCCTCAGAGAACAATGGCTCTTCCCAGGGCTAACATCTGCTGTGTCCCTGTCTTGATTCTGTCAGCACCCAAGAGGGAATTACCTCCGGGCCTGTGTGTTCTTGTGACACAGAAACCCGACTGAGCATGTTCTTAGTGCTTTGGGAAGGTGTGACTTGCCCCCAGAAGAAGGTGACAGAAATGCCTGTGATGGCCGAAAAACAAGAAGAATGATCAATAGGGATTAATATCAATTCTTTGTAACAACATTCACCAGTCAAAGTTCTGATCCAGGAGAGAGGCCTAGGAGCAGTTAGTTGTGTGAAGAGTTTCGAGTCTTTGGTGTTGGGAAAGAGGTGACCTGTGTGTCCTGGAAAGGACCTGGGCTCCCTCTCCCTATGGAGGGTTTCAAGGCAACTCTCTTAGTTAGGGTTTCTTTTGCTGTGAAAAAACACTGAGACAAAAAAGCAAGTTGGGGAGGAAAGGGTTTAGTTGACTTACACTTCCATATTGCTGTTATTCAGTGAAGGAAGTCAGGACAGGACCCCAAACAGGGCAGGATCCCAGAGGCAGGAGATGATGCAGAGGCCATGGAGGGCTGCTGTTTATGAGCTTGCTGGATCTTCTCTCTTACAGAACCCAGAACCACCACCCCAGGGATGTCACCATCTACCATGGTCTGGACTCTCCCTCAACAGACATTCCTTCCTCTATGATTATTCTAGTTTGCATCAGGTTGACACCCCAAGCAGACAGTACAGCAATCTTCCAGGATCTGGTGTTGTTTGAGCTCTGTGTGGGGTGACTCCAAGTGTGGGAGCCCATGTGTGACTCAGTTTCCATCTGGAGTCATTTCTGACTTAAGTCATTTGCATTCAAGCTTGCCCTCTCCACGTTTTTCAATAACCTTGAGGGCTCTGAGAGACTTTTGACTTAGCCCATGAGAAAAGGACACTCTGTTTAGTAGAAACTCTACTGATGATGGCAAAGCCCAGGAACATCACGATAGAAAGTAAGGCTGTTTCCAAGCAGCAAGCGCATGTTGGAGAAGAGGCTGCTCACTCAAGGACAGGAATGATCTTGTATTAGATACTGATTAACCATCTGTGCTGTGATTTGTATATAAGTAAGTTTTGTATATAAGCTGCTTTTGTATAAGCAAGTTTTTAAATAAACTCTGGGCTGTTTGGCTGCTTCGGCATAATCAGACAGACCTCCCGATTCTATCTTGTCTTCTGTTTCTTTCATCTGACTTTCCTTTGACTTTGAGGATCCCCTATCCAAGAACCCTAGGTGACTTTGTAGGACAGGCTCCTACACCCACATTCTCTCTGATCTTCTTAGAAAATTGTTGCTCTTAGCCTAGGTGATTCCCCTGCAGTAATCCTGCCTTTCCCTATGAAATATACCATAAGTGAGGGCACTCTCTGGTTCCCCAGGTAGAGGGGCTTTATCAGAGTAAACAAACAAATGAAAACATCAGACTATTGACAGGGAACTTTGGGTTAATACACACAGGATGAAAGAAAACCAGTCTGAAAGACAAGGTCATGACTCAGGGAAACAATTTTCTGATTGTTGAGTGTGTGTTCCTGATATTGCCCACTGGGAGGAATATCACAGGGAGAACTGTAATATCATGTCTGGGGCTACAGCAGGCAGGGTCAACAAGCCAACTGTGAGCTGCCCTGAAACCCTCAGCAGAGATGGGGTGCAGAACCTGTCATTCTGCTCACTGTTCTCTGGGAGTCATAATTCCATCTAGTGTAGGAAGAGTCTAGACAAGGATCAAGATTTGGCCTGAGAAGCCCTGGAATAAAGTTGCAATAGTGTTTATCCAGAACATGGGTATCCTTGTGCCCCCCAAAATTTCAAAGACTTAGGACTTTCAAGATTTATCTTGAGACTCAAAGGAGAGGACACTAGCGTAGGAGCTGCACCTGGATTCACTGCACAATCTCTGGTGACTAAATCACTCATTCTTTCTGCCCACAGGGTGATAAGGTGGGTCTGCTCTTGAGGTCATAGAACATTGATTCCAAAGGATTTATATTCTGCTTTTCCTTTTCGCCAATTTTAAAAATTTATTTTACATACCAAACAGTTTCCCCTCCTTTCTCTCCTCCCATTCCCTTCCCTACCTCCTTTTTATCATCCCACCCACTGCTCAGAAAGAGTAAGGCCTCCCATGTGAGTCAACAAAGCATGGAATACCAAGTTAAAGCAGGACCAAGCTCCACCCCCTGCAGCAAAGCTGATTGAGATGTCAGACCATGGGGAATAGGTTCCAAAAGGCCAGTTCATGTGCCAAGGATGGGTCTTGATCCTACTGATAGGGGCCACAAACAGATCAAGCTACACAACCAATACCCACAGGCAGAGGGCTTAGGTCCATTCTAGGCAGGTTCATAAGCTGTTGGTCTAGAGTTTCCCTACCATGTGCTCCCACAAGCTCAAGTTTCCCTATCATAATCTTAGCCCCCTTGCTCATTTAATCCCTCCACTCACTCATCAGCTAGACTCTCTGTGCTCATCCCAGTCCTTGTCAGTGGATCTCTACATCTGTTTCCATCAGTCACTAGATGAAGGTTCTATAATAAAAATTAGAGGAGTCTTAGCTGGGGTCACCCTTGTGGATTCCTGGAAGTTTCCCCTAGCACTAGGTCTCTCCTTGCCCCATAATATTTCCCTCTATCAAGACATCTCTATCATTGCTCTCCCACTCTGATCTTCCCCCAACTTGACCATTCTGATCTCTCAGGTTTCCATCCCTCACCCCTTCTCTCTATACTCTCCCCACCACCAGTTCACCCAGGAGATCTCATCTATTTCCCATTCCCAGGGTGATCCATATATCCCTCATAGGGTCCTCCTCGTTAGCCAGATTCTCTGGGGCTATGGATTGTAGCCTAGTTATCATTTGCTTTGCATCTAATATCTTCTTCTAAGTGAGTATATACTGTGTTTGTCCTTTTGTGTCTGAGTTGCCTCACCCAGGATGATTTTTTCTAGTTCCATCCATTTGAATGAAAATTTCATTAAGTCACTTTTTCTAACAACTGAGTAATAATCTATTGTTTAAATGTACCACATTTTCTTTATCCATTCTTCAGTTGAAGGGCATCTAGGTTGCTTCCATGTTCTGGCTATTATGAATAATCCTGCTATGAACATAGTTTAGCAAGTGTCTTTGTTGTATGATTGAACATCCTTTGGGTATATACCCAAGAGTGGTATCACTAGGTCTTGAGGCAAATTGATGTCCAACTTTTTGAGAAATTGCCATACTGATTTCCAAGTAACTGTACAAGTTTTCACTCCCACCAGCAATGGAAGAGTGTTCCCCTTATTCCACATCCTCTCCAACATAAACTGTCATCAGTGTTCATAATCATATCTATTCTGACAGGTGTAAGATGGTATCTCAGAGTCATTTTGATCTGCATTTCCCTGATGATTAAGATGTCTTTTGGTCATTTGAGAGACTTCTGTTGAGAATTCTCTGTTTAGATCACTACCCCATTTTTAGATTGAATTCTTTAGTATTTTGATGTCTAGTTTCATGAGTTCTTATATTTTGGAGATCAGCCTACTGTCAGACATGGGGTTGGAGAAAATCTTTTTCCATTCTGTATGTTGGCATTTTGTCTTATTTGACCAGGTTCTTTGCCTTATAGAAGCGTTTCAGTTTCAGGATGTCCCATTTATTAATTGTTTTTCTGTGTCTGTTCTTGGTGTCAGGAATTAGTCTCCTGTGCCAATGTATTCAAGGATACTTTCCACTTTCTCTTCTATCAGATTGAGTGGAACTGGATTATGCTGATTTATTTTTATCTATTTGGACCTGAGTTTTGTCCATTTATGATAGACATGGGTCAATTTTCTTTTCTTTTTTTCTTTTGTTTTAATTTATTAAAGATTTCTATCTCTTCCCCACCGCCGCCTCCCCTTTCCCTCCCCCTCCCCCAATCAAGTCCCCCTCACTTGTCAGCCCAAAGAGCAATCAGGGTTCTCTGCCCTGTGGGAAGTCCAAGGACCACCCTCCTCCATCCAGGTCTCATAAGGTGAGCATCTAAACTGCCTAGGCTCCCACAAAACCA